TATGGTAGAAATTCATGGTGTCCTGAAAAAAGCATTTTTGACTCAGTAGTCTTTAAACACCTTGTTCATGAATCTCTCAAGAGAATTTTGAAAAATTAGTGTCCCCTCTTCCAGTTTAAAATTATCATCTAAATTTTTTATCATAAGTTTAAGGATAGGCATACCTCATTTTATTGTGCTTTACTTTGTTACACTTTGCAGATACTGATTTTTTGTTTTGGTGTTGTGGGTTTTTCTTTTTCTTAAAACAAATTGAAAGTTTGTGGCAACTCTATTGAGAAAGTTTACTGGTGCCATTTCTCCAACAGTACATGGTGTAATTTTGGTAATTCTCGCAGTATTTCAAACTTTTTCATTATAGTTATATCTGTTACAGTGATCTGTGATCAGTGATCTTTGATGTTACTATTGTAATTATTTTGGGGAACCACAAACTATGCCCATAAAAGACAACAAACTTAATCGATAAATGTGTGTGTTCTGACTCCTACACTGACCAGCCATTCCTGTCTGTCTCCTCCTCCTCAATCCCTGAGACAAAACAATATTGAAATTAGGCCATTTGACAACCCTACAATGGCCTCTTAAGTTTTTAAGTGAAAGGAAAAGTCACGTGTCTCACTTTTTTTAATTTTTATTTTATTTATTTATTTTTTTTGAGACAGAGTCTCACTCTGTTGCCTGGGCTAGAGTGCCGTGTCATCAGCCTAGCTCACAGCAACCTCAGATTCCTGGGCTCAACCAATCCTTCTGCCTCAGCCTCCCGAGTAGCTGGGACTACAGGCATGCGCCACCATGCCTGGCTAATTTTTTCTGTATATTTTTTTAGTTGTCCAATTAATTTCTTTCTATTTTTAGTAGAGATGGGGTCTCGCTCTTGCTCAGGCTGGTCTTGAACTCCTGAGCTCAAACAATCCGCCCACCTTGGCCTCCCAGAGTGCTAGGATTACAGGCGTGAGCCACCACGCCTGGCCCACGTGTCTCACTTTAAATCAAAAGCTAGAAATGACTAAGCTTAGTGGGGAAGGCATGTTGAAAGCCAAGATAGGCCAAAAGCCAGGCCTCTTTTCCCAAACAGCCTAGTTGTGAATGCAGAGGTCAAGTTTTTGAAGGAAATTAAAAGTGTTGCTCGAGTGAGCACATGAATGATAAAAAAGAGAAACAGCCTTATTGCTGATAATGGAGCAAGTGTTTAGGGGTCTGGATAGAGATCAAACTAGCCATCAAATTCCCTTAAAGCCTAATGCAGAGGAGGGCCCTATGTCTCTTCAATTCTGTGAAGGCTGAGAGAGGTGAAGAAGTTGCAGAAGGAAAATTTGAACCTAGCAGAAGTTGGTTCTTGAGGTTTAAGGAAAGGCCATCTTCATTACATAAAAATACAAAATAAAGCAGCAAGTGCTCATACAGAATTTGAGACAAGTTATCCAGAAGATCTACCTAAGACTTTTATTCTTGAGACAAAGAACATTTTTTAATGATAAAAGCATGAATCCACCAAGAAGATGTCACAGGTGCCTATATTGATTAGGCTTGTTATATTGTGATAAAATAAATACTTGGTCTCTGCCCCTGGTTCCTGACATAGACCTTCTAAAACCCCTGTAGATAAGGACACTAGAAGAATCTTGAGTTCTAATATTTGGTCTTTGACCCTAGTTTCTGACATAGAGCTCCTAAGACCTTTTTAAATTTCCTGAGTGATAGGAGCTTGGTGTCAGAAGTTCCTATATCTTTTGGAAATTTTGGGGTAATGGGATCTTTTATTCTAATAAGGCAACTCTTTGTGAGCTGTGGTATCCCCTTTTGGACCCACCCCCTAACTGGAAAGGTCATTGCTCTGAGCATTTGTGAGAACCAAGGCAAACCTGAGCTTAAGGTGTCATCTAGCGCTGAAAGGAGGCAGTGATCTAGGACTGAGGGTACTCAATAGGCAATTGCAAAGGACCTCTAAGCAGACATACCCTAGAAAGAACATAACAAGCCAGATAGGAAAGACTAAATAATTAATTCTCCAGTGTGAAACCAGACATATGTTCATGAGAAACAATGGCATAGAGAGACCCATAACCTTCCCAAATGACAAAGCAAGGAACTGATGACCCTAACAAAACAGCAGCATATGAGCTCTGAGATCAAGAATTCAAGATAGCAGTTCTAAGGAAACTCAGTGAACTCAAACATAACCCAGAAAAGCAAAGCAGAAATTTATCAGAGAAATTTAACAGAGATTGGAATACAAAATAAAAGTTGCATTCTAGAACTGAGAAATACATTTGCTGCACTGAAAAATGCATTACAGGCTCTCAGCAGCAGAATGTATCAAGCAGGAGATTCAGTGAGCTTGAAGACAGCCTATTTGAAAACAGAAGAAGAAAAAGAAGGAAAAAGAATGAAGGACACCTACACGGTGTAGAGAAGAACCTCAAGAGAGCAAATCTAAGAGTCATGTGTGTTCAAGAGGGAGTTGAGAAAGAGGAAGGTTAGAAAGCTTTTTCAAATAAGTAGTAACAGGACAACTGCAATACAATAATAATAGGGGACTTCAACACCCCACTCTCAGTAATGAACAGATCATCTAGACAGAAAATCAACAAAGAAACTTTGGAGTTAAACTACACTGTAGACCGACTAGATCTAACTTAAACAACATTTCATTCAACTGCTCCAGAATACATATCCTCATCAGCACATGGAACATTCTCCAGGATAGACTATATGCTAGGCCATAAAACAAGTCTCCAAAAAATTCAAAAAAGTTGAAATCATGTCAAATATCTTTTCTGAACACAATGGAATAAAACTGAAAATTATGCCTTCTATGTCACAGGCTATTGAAAAAAATAAGGGGAACTTTGGAAACTATACAAACACACGGTAATATAACAGTATGCTCCTGAACAATTAATCAATAAAAAAATTAAGGAAATTTAAAAATGTCTTGAAATAAATGAAAATGGAAATACAACATACCAAACTCTCTAGGGTAAAGCAAAGCAATATTAAAAAGGAATATTCTGGCAGTAAACACCTACATCAAAAAAGTATTAATAGAGGGGTGCTTCAGCATGGCTGACTACTGGTGCCACACGCTCATCTCTTCCACAAAGAGGGACCAGAGTAATGTATAGATAATCATAGATCAAGCAGTTGAAGAGAGAACACTGGAGATCAGGAGAGAATTGGCAGGGAACCTCTGAGACACAGAAGGAGAAGGAAATGGAGCAGCTAGCCCAGCTGGGATATGCTCAGAGGCAGGAGAAACTTCCCATTGTGGGTAACAGGTAAGTGAGAGATTCCCAATGGTCCACATTTCTGCCATGGACTTCTGCAACCCTAGCCATGGGAGAAACTAATATTGGGACCCATCAGAAGTCCATGCGACATTGTTCTAGAAAGTTTGCACTGGGTCCCACACAACCTCCCCAAACCAAGAAGCTGCAACCTGGCACCATTTTGAGAGTTCAGCCTCCACCAGACTACATCCTGCCCTGGAGCCCAACAGCCCTCATTACTACACATCCCTAAAGACATGCTAACATCCCCCTACGTCCAGCCAGAGAGATGCATCATGACTCTGGCTGAACCCAGCAGTGCAGTCAGGTCTCCAGAGCTCTAGCCCACACAATGTCCTACACACTGGGAAACAAGTGATGCAGTACACCAGGGAGGCTGCTGCTGGGACTAAGGGACCTGAAGCCTGAGTTCCCCAGAGCCTGACTTCAAAACATACTATAAAGTCATAGTAATTAGAATGGTACTGGCATAAAAACAGACACAATGACCAGTGGAACAGAATAGAGAACCCAGAAATAAATCCATATGTTTATAGCCAAGTGATCGACAAAGGCTCCAAGTGCATTCATTGGGGATTGAGCAGTCTCTTTAATAAATGGTGCTTATAAGACTGTATTATCCATAAGAAGAATGAAACCAGATTCCTACCCCTCACAATGTACAAAAATCAACTGGAATTGGATTAAAGACTTAAATGTAAAATCTGAAACTGTGAAAGTACTAGAAGAAAAGGAAATTCTTCAAGACAATGGTATAGGCAAAGATTTTGGGGGTAAGATAGCTAAAGGATAGGCAACAAAAGCAAAAATAATCAAATATATCCCATCAAGCTAAAAAGCTTCTGCACAGCAATGGAAATAATCAACAAAGTGAAGAGACAACCTACAGAATGGTAGAAAATATTTGCAAACGATTCAAGAACACATTTAATAACCAGAATATATGAAGAACTCAAAAACACAAAGTCAAATAATTCTATTAAAAAATGGGCAAAAGATCTGTATAGACACATCTCAATTAGAATATGTACAATAGCCAACAGGTGTATGAATAAATGCTCAACATTACTAATCATTAAGGAAATGCAGATCAAAATGAGATATCATTTCACCTGTTAAAATGCTTTTATTAAAAAGGCAGAAAATTACAGAAGCTAGTGAGCATGCAGAGAAAGAGGAATGCTCATACACTGTTTCGGGGAATTGTATATCTAGTATAAAAAACAGTATGGTGGCTCCTCTAAAAATGGAACTACTGTATAATACAGCAGTCCCACTGCTGGGTATATATCCAAAATAAATGAAATCAGTATGTGGAAGGGATATGTGCACTTCCATGTTTGTTGTATTACTGTTCACAATAGCCAAGATAAGGAATCAGCCTAAGTGTTTATCAATGGACGAGTGGATAAAAAAGTTTTGTACAAAAACACAGTGGAATATTATTCAGCCACCAAACAAGAATGAATTTCTGTCCTTCGCATCAACATGGATGAAACTGGAGGTCATTGTGTTAAGTGAGATAAGCTAGGCACAGAAAGATAAACACCGTAAGTTCTCACTCATATGGTAGGGCTACAAAAAAAAAAAATGGATTTCATGGAGGTAAAGAATAGATTGATGTTTACCAACAGCTGGGAAGGGTAGGGGAAAGGAAAGGATTTAGAAAGGTTGGTTAATGGGCATTTTCTCTTTCCCTCGGGGCAGGCAGCAGTGGTGGTGGCTTGTGCAGCCATGGTCAAGATTAAGGTTCGGGACCCTCACGGCAAGAAGGAGGAACTGCTGAGAGAGCTGGATGACCTGAAGATGGTCAGGTGTGGTGTCCCAGGTGTGTGTCACCAAAGTGACAGGCTGCGTGGTGTCTAAGTGCTTCAAATTCTGAGTGATTGGCCAATCTGTTGACTGTATTCTTACAGTAATTAACCAGACTCAGAAAGAAAACCTCAAGAAATTCTATAAGGGCAAGAAGTATAAGCCCCTGGATCTGTAGCCCAAGGAAACCCATGCCATACGCTGCTGGCTCAACAAGCACAGGGGAAACTGAAGACCAAGAAGCAGCTGTGGAAGTAACGGATATACCCACCACAGAAGTACATGATCAGGGCTTGAGCTTCACAGTGTCAATAAGATACAAACTAACAACAACAGAAGAGAAATAGTGAGGTTGGTTAATGGCTACCAAAATACAGTTAGAAGAAATATGATCCAGTATTCCATTGTGCAATAGGGTGATTATGTAATAGTTAAGAATAACTTGTTGAATATTTCAAAATATTAATACCTGGAGAAGAGTAATTGGAATGTTCCCAACATGAAGGTGTGAATTTTGGGGGCAATGGATGTCGCATTTGCCCTATTTTGATCATTACGCATTATATACATGTAATAAAATACCACATGTACCCCAGAAATATGTATACATACTATGTTTCAGT